AGGTATATACCCAAAGTTTGCTCAAGTACACAAAAGGGATATTTGCTCAACCATGTTTATAGCAGCTTTATTTGTAATAGCCAGAACCTGGAAACAACCCAGATGTCCATCAACGGAGGAATGTGTACAGAAATTGTGGTATTTTTACACAATGGAATACTATTCAGCAATCAAAAAGGAGGAAATCATGAAATTTGCAGGCAAATGGTGGGATCTAGAAAAGGTCATCCTGAGTGAAATATCCCAGAAGGAGAAAGACAAACACGGTATATACTCACTTATATAGATCTATAAGATGTGATAAACATAATGAAATCTGTACACCTAAAAAAGATAATCAAGAAAGCGGACATGGGGTAGGATGATCAATCCTCGTTTAGAAAGACAGATGGGATGTGCATTGAACGTATGACAGGAGTCTACTTAGCGCATTTGAAAGACTCTAACTAGCAGTGTTTTCAAAGCAAAGACTCATGACTAAACCTTTGGCAGAGTACAGGGAATCATAAGAAAGAAGGGGAGTTAGTCTGATGGGTAAAGGATAGGAGCTCCACAAGGACCAAATATATCTGGGCACAGGGTCTTTTCTGAGACTGACATTCAACCAAGGACCATGTATGGATATAACCTAGAACCTCTGCTCAGATGTAGCCTGTGGTAGCTCAGTAACCAATTGGTTTCCCATAGTGAGGGGAACAAGGACTATTTCTAACAGGAACTCAATGACTGGCTCTTTGGCCTCCCCACCCCCCAAGGGAGGAGCAGTCCTGTTAGGCCACAGAGGAGAGCTTTGCAGCCAGTCCTGAAGATACCTTATAAAACAGGATCAGATGAATGGGGAGGAGGTCCCCCCATCAGTGGACTTGAAAAGGGGCACGGTGGAGATGAGGGAGGGAGGGAAGGACTGGGAGGGAATGAGGGATCGGGACATGGCTGGGATACAGAGTTAATAAAATGTAACTTATAAGAAAAAAATAAAATTAAAAAAAAATAAAATAAAATCCCCTTTCTCCATGAGACTCCTCAGGTTAGAAGACCTGATTTAGAACCACACTAAACTCTAAGTATGTTAAAAATGGCTCTGATGTCAATGGGACATCTCAGAAAGCAGAGATTTCAGCAGAGCCACACAGCCTCAGGCAAATGACTGACTTGCCCAGATTGTCACAGCTTCTCTGGTCCTCTCCCAGCCCAGCAGCTCCTGTGAAGCTTAACAGAACATTATCTGATGATCGCTGCTTTCAATCAGCCACATAAATGTTCACGCTCCTTTGTACAGCAGTTTTTTTCAGAATAGTTTCCAAGTTTCCTTGTCTAAGGAAACCAGCAAAGTCAAATTAGTGGCTCAAACTAGGTTGCAAACCCCTGTGGGGATTCCAGAAACAGAAGGGGCAGTGTTTTCAGTTCTTCACTCCAAAGAGACAAAGACTTGCAAGCAGAAACTTAGAATGCAGCCAATCAGGTTTATAAAGGAGGGGAAAATACTTTTTTTTTTTTTCCTCTAACCATCTTGTGATCATTGACTGGAGTCAATGACTAGTAGGAAACAGAAAATCAAATATATGTACAATCCGTACACCTGAAGTACACGTGTTTGAATGTACTCATGCGCACATGTATGTACAGTACGCATACATGTATGTGCGCTTGTGTATAGAGCCTGGAGGACAGCCTCTGGCTCCCCTTCTCTGGAATGCTATCCAGCTTCTTTGATTTGGATCTCTCGATGACCAGGAGCTCACCCATTAGGCAAGGCTGGCTGGCCAACAAACCAAGGAGGTCTCTCTGGAGCTGCAATAGGAGAGGGCACCGCTACACCTAATGTTTACAGAGCATCTTAACAGAGCAATACCTTCGTGGAGAAGTGGCAAGGATAAGCACAAGGAGTTTCCAGAGGCACAATTGTGAGAAGACATAAATATATGAGGGAGAGATAAGCACTAGACAGTGTCTTGTTTCTACATCAATTCCTCCCGGCTCATAGGGGTTCTAGTGACTAACTCCTGCCTTTCCTCATACAGACAGGAAATTGAGACTCCTTCACAAATGCGATTTTTTTTTTTTTCGAATGGAAGGGGCCCATGGTTCTTTTTACATTAGCTTCTTCTCACTTACCTTCACCTCAGTGTTTTTGCCACAGTAGCATGTTTGAGTGGTATGTTCTGCTTCAGGCTCATCATCACTCAGAGCCCAATCTGTCTGGGGTACAGCTGCAGTAGGGAACAGGTTGCTGAGTATTGGTGCAGAGAGGCTTGGGGATGGAGGCAGAGGAAATGAATGAATGAATGAATGAATGAATGAATGAATAAATGTCCCTGTCAGCTGTTAGTGACCTTGAAAGGACCTAACAGCCACAGGTATTTAGAAACAAAGCTGCCTCTGTCCCATTGCCATTACTGAAGGACCAGGAATGGTTCCCTTGCAACAGAGCAAACTTTCTTTCTCTAGTCTCTGCTTTGCACTCTTTCAGATATCCTGCTTTTTGCATTTTTCTCTTTAATACCATTCTTTATTTTTGTTTGTTTGTTTTTTTTGTTTTGTTTTGTTTTTCTTCAAGACAGGGTTTCTCTGTGTGGCCTTGGCTGTCCTGGAACTTGCTCAATAGAAAAGGATAGCCTCAACTCAGAAATCTGCCTGCCTCTACCTCTTGAGTGCTGGGATTAAAGGTGTTCACCACCACTGCCCAGCTTTAATGCCATTCTTGAGGCTTCTTTATATAAATGTCTCCTGGACAGAGAACTTGACAATGAGGAAGACAGCCCACGCCATGTGTTTCCTCAAGGCCAGTCTCAGGGTGGACAATGATGATAAATATATTTATATTTAAATGATATTTATTTATAGCAGTCAGTGTGTGCTAGCACACTGTGCAGTATTCTTGCATGTATAATCTCATTCCACTTTTCTAAGAGTCTCTAAAACAAGTTTAATCATTACACCCACTGTATACTAAAGACAAGTTAAGAGAGACGGTTAGCTCTGTCAACATCATGAAGTTAGAAAGTGAAGCAAGGATTTGGACACAGGTCATTGAATACTGAGTCCTTCCAGTTCCTTCACTGCTCCTACTCATTCCCCTCCATGGATGAGGAGTCTGCCCTTCTCCCTAGCCCCAGCCCACAGAAATCGCCATAGCTCCCTGAGCTCAGAAAGTGGAGCCGCAACTCTTAAAACTGTCCTGAGGTCAGGCGTTCACCCTCCCTCAAGTTGTCTATGTCATTTCCTCCCTTCCAATTCCCGGTTTGCTATTTGCTTCAGTCTTCGTGGATGGTCCAGGGTTACTTTCTTCTTGGGACTTTTCCTTGGCCCCAGTACCTAAATCATCAAGACCCCCCAACAACTAGAGGGCAAAATTTAGACACCCTGACATACTCACTATGTTCTTGCTCAGTGCCACATCCAACCCTCGCCCTTCGGTGGGCTGTTACCTAGTCTCTCTCTCTGTATACACACATGCACACATACATGTCATCGATCCATCAATTATCTATCATCACTTTATATTATTTATATGTGTATCTACCTATCCATCCATCCATGCATCCATCCATCCATCCATCCACCCACCCACCCATCCATCCATCTATCTGTCATCTATCTAAGCCATTTAAAGTGCATTTTATTGGTTAACCTTGTCATAGATACTTTGGGGGGAAATTAATAATTATAAATTTAGGGATTAACTCATATATACACATTGTTTCTTAATGTCACTGGTCAGGTCCAGCCTTTCTTCTATAGAGTCCTCAATGCTCTCCTCCATGGGTAAAGATCCTGCTTTTTTTATTTCTTACTAGCCCTGGTCTGAAGAATCATTCATGTCTCATAATTTGGGGTTTTAGTCTAACATCACAAACTAGTAATGGCTTAGCCCACAGTCCTAGTTCTGTATAGACTCTAGTATATCATGCTTTGCCATTGGTAGCTCACTGGTCTTATGCAAGTCACCTAAAATCTGAATCTTTCTGCTTCTGGAATCTGCAGAAAATGCTACTAATTGTACATCTTGACTCTAATGGTTAAACCTACTTTTATATGAGTATTACCTTTGAAGCCATATAGCATAGTGGTTTGGACTACAGCCAGTGGTTCTAAGAGTCATAGATTCAAATCTCAGTGTAGCCACACTTACTTGTGTGACCTTAGATGAGTTAACTCTCGAGAGCTCATTTTCCCTGTTTTTGGGGAAGAGGCACCAAGGTCCTGCCTGTTCATGAACTCAGATCAGGATTTCCCAGTAGCCTGTGTATGGAAATGACCTGATTTCTAAACTGCAATTGTTCGGAGCAGAAAAGGGGAAAGAGAGCTTGGAGGCAGAGGAGTACTGAGAGGGGGTTTCAGGGGGGTTTCCTTTATTCTTCCGTCACCTGCTGGGGGAGAGGATATAGCTTTATATGGGGGTGGGCTGGGGTGGGGGAGGCACAAATTTTAGGTTTCTTTTCTTCTGTGAATTTCAGGGATTAAACTCTGGTCCTAGCATTTGAACAGCACACAGTTCTGCTGTCTTGCTAGCCTCCAGGCCAGTCTTCTAATTTGGCTGGTCCAGGGAATGTACAACCAACATCTGTCCCAGACCCCCATTCCAGCCTTCCATGCCATCTTTCTCAGCTTTCCATAACCAGGTTCTAGTCCCATCTCACCCTCTCAGCCTCCCAGCCCAGCCCCATGGTAACCTCCTATGCCAGTCTCCAGCCCTAGCTTCTCAGCTCAGCTCTGTAGCTTAAGGTTTGCGGTGGCGCGGGATGTTAGAGCGAATATCGTGTCTAGCCTCATCTGAGAGGTCCCACAACCATTCCTACTTCTGTTCCGGCCAGGTGCTCCTCACCACACATCTTTACTTTTACCCTCATCAAAGGCTGACGACGACGGAAGTCTAGCAAAACGGAGCTGGCCCTGGTGTCCTGCTGCTTTCCCATGGGGCGCAGTCACCGGCCTCCAGGCGTGGCCACGGTTTCCCGTGCCTTGCAAGGGTTAAGAGGAGAGCTCTGGGCTGACGTCGCTCTGGCCGAAGGTGGTTCCCCTAGCTGAGGGTGGGAGAGCCCAGCGGGCTGAAACCCGAGCTCTGGCTCAGCTGGGGCTTGAGGAGGTCCCGGCAAGAGCAAGCCTGCTGCCCTGCTCTCACTCAGGCATCTTCACACCAGTCACCGCGCAGCAGCGGGAAAGATGGAGCTGGACCGCTGGGCGCAGTTGGGGCTCGTGTTCTTGCAGCTCCTTCTCACCTCGTCCTTGCCAAGAGGTACTGTTAGTGATTGGAAGCTCTCCGGGAGGCTGATGGGGAGCTGGACAGGATTGGCGGTTGCTCCAGTGATAATCTGGGGTGCCTGGCTGGTGGCTCCGATGCTCCTGTTGTCTGCCCTAAGAACAGGATAATGTTTTATCCCTAATTGTGTATGTCTGGAAAGAACAGAGCTCCTGTGCTATCTATCTATCTATCTATCTATCTATCTATCTATCTATCTATCTATCTATCTATC